TTTTCGAAAGAGCCCTGTCTTATAATACGAATGTGTGAAATATGTTTTAAAAGAACTCACTGTTTTTTTGTCTCCCTTTCTTTTTCACTTTCTCTTTCATTCCCTCTTTCTCTCTCTTATACTCTGCAAGTGTTACCAATTATTACGAAAAAAGTACAAATAAATTTGATTACTTGTTGATTTCACACACAAAGTAAGAGTAGTAGTATACATATTGAAAAACTACGTACATACATAAGAAATGTCTAAAACGGACTAACCTGTCGTGTTTGTGTTTCTTTTGGTCGTTACCTAAAGCTTACTCTGTTGTCGTATACGAAGAAAATACTCTCTCTCTCTCTCCATCTTATTTGAAGAAAAAGTTAAGAAACGTTATAACATTGTATATGTGAAAAACACCGAGTTATTGTAGTCGTATTTTCATTAATAATATAATATGATTTCTCTACCCAATCCTATTGGCCCTTTCGGCATTTAAACCCCTGGACAATGAATTATCGGGCCTATAAAGAAGATTGTAGAAGTCCTTCAAGTACATAGCTTCGTGTGCATTATGTTTCCATCAGGGTCTACAAAATATAATCAGGGTCTACAAAATATAATTTTTTTCTGATTTATAGTTATTTTATTCGATTTTTTTTTAAATTATTTCAAATATAAGTTTGATAAAATTGAGCAAAGACCTCGAGCTCAATTTTATTAAACTTACATTTGGAATAACTTTTTATACCCTACACCACAAGGTGGTCAGGGTATTAAGTCTTTGTGCATTTGTTTGTAACCTAGAAAAGGAAACGAGATAGACCCATAGTTCTTTTTGATGATCTGCATAGAATCACATTCTGAGTCAATTTATGCATGTCCGTCCGTCCATCTGTCCATGTGTTTTTGTAAAAAAAGTACAGGCCGCATTTATTGCCCGATCCACATGAAATTTTGCACAAATCATTTGTTGGGGCCAAGGACGATCCCTATTGAAATTGGAGATAATCGGTAAAAATTTAGATATAGCTCCCGTATATATCTTCGTCCGATTTGCCTCTTATTGTGCACCAAACGTGTAATATCAGCCCAGCTAGTATGGAATTTTGCACATACTACCAAATTAGGCCTGAAAATATGTATGCCAAATTTGATCGAAATCGGTTCAGATATAGATATAGCTCCCATATATATTGTTCATCCGATTTGTTATTTTAGTCCTTCGCAGCCGTAATATACACTCTGTAACAACAATATTCGGGGAAATATATCCAATGCAGCTCAGAAATACATTCGCTAAATTGTATCGAGATCGGTTCGGATTTGGATATATCTCTCATATATAACTTCGTCCTTTTATTCTGCACCAAACGTCTAATATTTTCCCAAATGGGATGAAATTTGGCACTTACAATTGAGTCTAGAAGCTATTATGTCAAATTTGGTGAAGATCGGTTCAAATATAGCTATAGCTCCCATATATATTGTTCATCCGATTTGTTATATTTGTTACCCACAGCCGTAATATCCACCCCGTAACAACGATCTTTAGGGAAATATATAAAATACAGCTCTCCTAAATTAGCCAAGTGGTGTAGGGTATCATAAAGTCGGCCCCGCCCGACTTTAAGACTTGTTTTACTGGTTTCTTTTTGAAAATCGAGTGTAGCGTATGTTTGGCTATGTGAAACCAAATACCGCAAACATCCTTTTCTTCAATATTTGTGAACAAAAATTCATTAAACATAGCCCGATTATGCACTGAGTGGTAGAAGAGAAGAATTTTCGAAGAAAAATTGCCAAAATTATGCCTCTGGACCCAAATTCAGCTGCAATGGATGGGGGTGGACTCCGAGGATGGCATTCGTACTGTAATTTGGCCCCTTGTGGCGGTTAGCGTTATCAGAAGGAGTGAGTCGAAACAAGTTAAAAAGCAGCAAAGTTCCGGCCCGAACTTTTTTTACCCACTACCATTCGGAAAAAACATGACCAATTAAAAAAAAATCCGTCGAAAAATGCCGCTCAAATAAAAACCGTTATATAGGGACTATACGAAGACGTTTTACTGGATAAATAATTTTTAAATTCGAAACAAATCCGGTGAATAATGCCATTAACCTCAGCAAAATAGCGAATAAAATGAGGACCGTTGAGACGTGGACCCGCATAGAGAAATTTTCTCTCATAGGTTATAGTATCCATTACGAACTTCAAATTCGAAATTTGACGCGATTCCGGTGAATAATGTCACGAAAATCCTGGATATACCCAATATCTCTGGGTATCGTTATATGGATGCTATACTAAAACGTAGACCAATATAGACAATTCTCTTCCAGGGGGTAAAGTACTCAGAAGGAAATCCTTGTGTAGATTTTAAGCCAATTCGATTAAAAAATGTGGCTAAATCATCAAATTACCGAATGCCGGGTGGGGGTTGGCACCATTGTATGGTGGCTATACGATAACGTGACCTATACAGACAGCTCTCTTTCAGGCGGTAAAGTGCTCACAGAGAACTCCTTGTGTAGAATTTCAGACAATGCCATTGAAAAATATGTGACTACAATCATCATAATAAAAAATGTCGGGAGGTACAGTTATATGGAGGAAACACGATATAATGGACCTATATAGACAATTCTCCTTCTGGGAGTAAAGTAGTCACCGATCTCGTGTTAATTGTACACCAAATGGCCAATATAAGTCCAAATAACTGAATTTTAGCACATCCAGCAGAATTCAGTCTGGAAGCAATATGAGTCCAAATAACTGAATTTTAGCACATCCAGCAGAATTCAGTCTAGAAGCAAGTACATCAAATTTGTTGAAAATCGGTTGAGATATAGCTCCATCAGATTTGGGGCTTAAGTCCCCCAGATTCGTAACATGCATTCAACAATAATGATATTTGGTACCAGATATCTTATAGAGCTCGAAAATACCTTTGCCAAATTTTATCGAGATCGGCTAAGATTTGGATATAGCTCCCATATATCCTTAATCCGAGTTCAGGTTTACTGTGCAAATAAGGGCTAATATCGGCCTAAATGGAGTGAATTTCGGGACGTACGTTTTCATTTGGCTCCGATATATATTTCTTAATATAATCCATCTGGAAGTGGCTCCATGGCAATTTGGTATAAAAGATAAAAATGTCTCCGTCAAATTTAGTGAAAATCGATTCAGAATTGGATATGCCTCCCATATATGAGTTCCCACTGAAACCAAAGTATAACTGCTCTAAAGTCAAACGTTGATAAGTGGTATGATCTACTTCAAATAAATTCTTTTGTTACGGGAGCTCTACTAAATATGCATAGTTGTGTAGGGTATAATGTAGTCGGCCCCGTCCGACTTTTGACTTTTCCTAACTGGGTTTTTTATTCTCAATGCGTAAGTAATGGACTACCATTTATTTCACTGTGGAAGGGTAAGCATAATGGGTCACAAAAGCTTTGGCAACTACGCGCCTCGGAACTTAAGCTAATCTATCAAGGTTAGTATGTGTGGTATTTTCAGAATTATATCCTTGTCCCACACCCTTAGATGAACGATGAAAATAAAAATTCTGCTAATGGTTGTCCATGTCGTTCTAATTTGGGAACTTAATCATATTTAGAACTGTTAGATCGAGAAATCATTATTTACAACAAAACGGTAACAAATATAAATGATTTTGAATAATATTTTCTTAATTTTTTGAGATCGAATTGTCATTTTGGAATAACATTTTCCTTCTTTTTCTTCTTCTCATAGAGATCCACTGCATGGATAGTGAATGTTATTATTCGTTGAAATAGACACGAGATGGAGAGAGAGATATATTTGAAAAATATAACGCGCGCTTTTTAAAAACCTCTTTGTTTACTTTTTTGTTATTAATCATTTTCAGACAATTGTTTTAGCGACACAACAAAAAGAGAGAAAATCTGTTTCATATAAAAAAAATACAAGGTATGTAGAGAGATTCTTTTTTTTTGGTTTTGTTTTTGTGGTTTAAACCGAACTTACCATGCCAACTGTTGCAGCAGTGGGTGGACGAACAACAGATGCTGCCGCAACCGAAGCGGCTGCTGCCTGAGCCTGAGCCTGCTGCTGGGCCTGTTGTATTCGTTGGATCATAACGGCACGGTTGATATCTTCCAACTGTTTTTGCTGGTGTTGCTGTTGGGCCTGTTGTATTTGTTGTATCATAACGGCACGATTGAGATCTTCGAGTTGCTTTTGCTGATGCGCCTGCTGGGCGGCCTGGGCTGCATGGGCATGGGCTACTTGGGCCTGAGTTGCCACCGCAACCATTGTTGCAGCCTTCACAAGAGTTCGAATGCAAGGCAATTCAATTCATTTCGATTTGTTTCGTTTCGTTTTGTTCGGTACGTGTTTGGCCCCCGGGGTGTTAAAGTCAATATATGCAATTCATTTCGTTTTTTTCAATTTTCAATTTCAAATACAATACGAGGGTAAACGATAAAAAAAGACAAGAGAAGAGAAAGAAGATAAAAAATCGTTTAATTATATGCTGTTTCGAATGTTTCTGTTTCTATGCAATGAATATTAACAATTGATTTGTTTGAATATTTTGTAAAAAAAAAAAACAAGAACGCGCTGTTATCGGTTTTATGTTAAGGATTTATCGATCTAACAGTCTAAACAATGGTGGGTATTTTTTATTAATTACAAAATTGAGAAAAAAAACTCTGTAGATATTCATTCATATTTTAAGATATGAGGATGAATGGTAACATCATTGAGGTTATGTTATAGCATTTGCTGAGTTTATATTTTTTTTTACTTTTTTTAGTCCTTTTTTTCAGTAGAATATCCCATGTGATGATAAGAATCGCGAACTGGACAATTCATATTATTTTTAATTAGCCAGTTTGATGTTTGACAATTTTGGGGTTATGTCCATAGAATTGTGGGCACAGTTTAACAGTTCAAGCGATTGTAATCACCTCGGGTGTAAACGTATATTTTTAAATACCATAACTCAATTTGCGAAAAAGAAACATGGCTTTTGTTTAGGTTTTTTAGTACGGTTTGACTTTTATTGTTGTTTTTTTTTTATTTTGTATTACTTTTGTTTCCATATAAGTTATTTGCTGTTGTTGTTGGTAATAATTTAAATCTCAAAGTTCTTAATTTCTTTTTTTTTTTTTGTTTTTCTATGTTCACAATAAAAATTTGCCTTTTTTTGTAAAATATAAAAAATACACACACACATATTTCAATTATAATAGCTTGTTTGCTGTTATGTATTTAAGATAAAAAAGAATTAATTATTTATATATAAAAATAAATGTAACTGATTTGAAAAAAAAAAAACAGGAAAGGGAAAAGGTCTTTGTTAATTATTTGAGTCGGCAAAATTTCAAAACTACAACAATATTATAGCTATTACTATTAGATCTTAAATAACAAACAGAAAAACTGTATTTATTAGTTTTGGAAAGAAAGAAAGGAAAATTTAAAAAAAGTTAAGTCTGCTGCTGCTAGCTGTGTATTTACATCCATTGAAAATGAATGAATATTCTGAATGTTTGAAATAATTATTATAAATTATTTTCTTGTTAATATTTTAAATGCCTGCCATGAACTTCTTTGTAACATAATTCTTTCGATTAGGATATTATCTCTAGAATTCGTAGTTTATTGGAAAAGGATGTTTTGAAGGATTTTTTTTTTACATATTTCAAATAATCTGATTTAAAAAAAGCAAGACAATGAATTTCTTGAAGAGATCAGATATGAGCAAAACAATATAAATGTTGCTAAATTCGGACGTATTAAATATTATCGTGAAGGAATAATGAATCAAAGTTTGAAATACCAAAAGATACAAGACAAATCTTGAATGTTTTCCTGAAAAAACCAGTCCTAAATCCTAATCCCTAAGATTAAAAGTTTTAAAATATATGAATGCTATGGATCTGTGTCAATTATTTTTGGTAGTGAAGTTTTCCAACTATCCACAAAACATGTGGACAAATAAGTGCAACTTTAAATAGATTCGAGGTTCCGAAACAATTGGCCAATATTGACTAATTTGTATCTGACCTAAGACTGTTAAAAATATTACAACGTGCCAGATTTGGACTTTATCGTCTGCTTTCATATGTGCAAAAATTTTGGAAAATGTGGAAATATGCGTGAGGTAACAGATATAGAGGTATAATATTCCATTTTCATACTTCATTTAATACAGATAAAAATATTGTTGGTATTTGCAATATTTGAAGGAAATCGAAGATTTATATCCAGTTTAATGCGAAATCTTAAATTCCGATAAATTTCATATTCATATCAGATTTCTGTTTAAGAAAAAAAATTCGATATAGCAAGTTGTAAAGAAAAGTTTCGCAAGTTATGACAGATATAAGTATTAGAAATTGTGACCCTTTGTGGGTGAGGTACCAGAAGGGGTTGGGATCTTACGTTAGCAAAAATATTTGGAAATGTGAAATATGAAGAGAGTTGTTTGAGCGTTTTGTTTTTCCAAATATTGAACCCTAAGTGGGAAAGGTACCAGAAGAAATGGTGCGATCTTGTGTTGATGGAAATATTGATATGCATTAATTATGAATAGAATTAGAATAGAATCGATGTTATTTTCGAGTTATTTTGACAATTTGTGGGGAAGGTACCAGAAGAACTGGTCTGATCTCTAATATCTTGTGTCGATGAAAATATTGAGATGTACCAAGTCTCAATGGAATCGGATGTTGTTTCGTGTTTTATGAGCTTCATGAATATTCAAAATTTTGATCCTTGGTTGGGGAGGTACCAGAAGGAGTTGATCGATATATATATCGATACATGGGAGCTTTAGCTATATTTGAACCGATTTTCATCAAATTTAAATTACTTATTTCTATACTAAATTCAGTCGGAAGCGCCAAAATTCACCGATTATCGATACAAAATCTTACTAAATCCAATAAATATTTCAAATTCTGATTGCTTAAGCACTCCAGAAGACTCCCCATTACATGCAGTTCATATGATCATCTCCTTCACTTGAAAGTCTTTGGAGGGAAATATAAACATTCAAAAATGTTGACTAAACACTTCATTTTGATTTCCGATTTGATTGATCCTCTTCAATAAACTACGAATTCAAGAAAACCTAACCTAATCGTCTACTTTCTTATACGAAATAAAAGGGAAAAAAGTTATTAACACAAATTAAAGCTTGTGATGTTAATTTGAAAAGGGGAAAGGATAAAAATTATTTAGAATGAATAATTGAAATGTACAATTGTCGATTTGTCTTTATAAAATACGGATCTAACATTGAAAGTTGTCTAACATGACGTTGGAATATGTCTCTTCTATGAATCCATTAATGATTCCCTTTGATATAATTAATAATATTTTCTATTATTAATTTAATATAACATGAATTTTTAATATAATAGAATATAGACAGATTTGACTTCTTTCTATTGATGTTCTCAAGGGTTTTTCTTAGGAAAATCAAAAAGAGAAAAACATGAACCGTGGACCATATCGTGTGGACATTTTTACATTAAATTTTTTTTCGAAATTTCACAGTTCTGTGAAACATAAAATTATTAATTCTTCGATACCACAATAAGGTATATTAGTCCTCTATGAAAAGACTCTAGTTTGAAAAGTTAGGGTCTTACACACACACACACTCAAAACATGTCCCACAAAAAGTATTTCATGATTTCATTTAATTGCATTATTGCCAACCATTTGGGTAATTTCAAAATCTATTTTCAAAAATTTGAGAAGATATATCCCGCGTCATGTTATACAACTCTCGAAATCTAATCTACTATCTTTTGACATTTTGCCGATGCGAATGTGGTCGATGTTAAGAGAGAGAGAAAAAAAAAGAGTGAAATCAAAAACTCGATCCTGTATTAAAATAATATTTTCTTTTTCTTATACGTTTTTACAGTTTGTTCTTAAGTTTTCGATTCAACTGTTTCCTTTTGTTTGTGTCTTTTTTATTAATGTTATTATTTATTGACTATAGTTTTTATATCTATAATAAGAACTCACTTCCTGTGCCTTGGATATGGCCGCTGCTGTTGCGGCAGCTGCTGCGGCTGCATTCGTTGCTGCTGACGATGTGCCAACTGAGGATGTTGTTGTCGTGGTACTGTGGGTGCCGCCGCTACTGCTGCTATATATGGAGGACGGAGCTGTCGTAAAAGACGACGAACTCGATGAATAGCCATGACCACCACTAGCACTGCTACCACTACTACTACTGCTAACTATGCCGCCGCTACTGTTATTGCCACCAGTCACAGTATTGGCTGCTGATGTCGCTGCCGAAGATTTGGATGTGCTTACAGAATTTGCATTGCTACTCTTAAGTCTTTGTATTTTACGTGCCTTTAATTCTTCTAAACTAAGATCTTCAGGTGGATGCATTATTTTTGATGTAACGCCACTGGCGTTTGTAACCACCTGAGTTTTAGCTGGTTCTGAGGTTGTAGTTGCTGTTGTGGTAGGTGGTGCTGCAGCATTGGGATTGTTTGTTGTTGGCGGTGCACTTATGGTGGCATTGCTAAAATGAGAGACAAAAATAAATGGTTTAATTAATAATATAGTCACTTTATGCGATGAATATAATTTATTATTTTTTAGAAGGTAGTTTGATGATCCATATAAAGAAGTTCTTCCTTTTTTATTGGGAAATATGTCATATAACTTTGAATTGACTATGATAAGATCTTCTGGTCTTTACATGGAGACAGTTCATTTATCTTTTAAACATTCGATTATCTATGCGATGTATTTCTGTTACTCAGAGAAGTCTTTCTAGTCTTCTTTATGAAGACAATATAGACTATTTAATATTTTCAAAACCTTATCAAGGGATATATTAGAACACCTTCTAACCTTCTGCAATAAAACCTTTTGGCCTTTCATTTAGGACTTTCTGCTCTCTTATGAAAGACCATCCGATGCTTTCGAAAATACCTTCTAGTTTATTAATGACAAAAAGTTTTGGTGTCTCATGAGTAGACACTTTGGTCTTAGATGGAAGATATTGCAACCCTTTTAGTGGAAAACATTTTTGTGTTCATTAAGAAAACCTACTTGTACTCGAAGAAGGCCTTCAGGACCTCAATGACAGGATTTTAGGGGTCTCCCTTATGGCCTTCTGGTTTAATAAGTGAAGGGTTTTTACCTTTTATTAGGAAACCACTAGTTTTTTACGAAAAGGCCATGGATCCATGAAACCTTCAGGGAAAACGCTTGGATTTTTAAGGAGCCCATCCGTTCCTTTTGAAAATACCTTCTAGTCTCTTCATGACAAACACTTCTGGAGTCTTAGGAGATTGAAGTACCTTCCTTTCTTTTAAGGGGACATAGTTTTTGTCTTCGTTAAGACATCCTACTTGTACTCTATGAAGACTTTAATGCAAGACTTTTTAGTGAACTGCAATATGAAGGGATCGCTTTAGTTTTCTATGAAAATACTTTTGAGCCATGAATAGCGTTTCGGTTCTTTAATCTACTATCTGCTCTCATATGAGACATCCTTTTTATATTCTAAAAGAAGCACAAGTTGCCATATTTCTTGCCATGCACAAAAAGACATGAGATGTTCGTATTAATGGACTTAAATGAAAAAAAGGGTTAGTATCTTCTTTGCGTAGACCTTTAGGTGCTAATGGCTATACCTAACATCTTACATAAGAAAACTAGCTGATCCTTTATAATAAATAAAAGTCTTTGGGACTATATTGAAAGCCACTGTAGAACTCTATTAGTAGGCTTTCTATTCTATAAAAAATCCAGCAATCATTTTGTGAAGAAAGTATTTCTTTCAAAACTGTTCTTACTAAACTGAAAAGAATAATTATTATAAACTGCATTTCATATACAAAATACAATACCTGTATGCAGGGAACGTTGGCTTCTGCTGTGCTGCCGCAAATTGACTGGCTGCATGAGCGGCAGCTGAAGTTGTGGCTGCCATTGCGGCGGGAAATAGAGGTCGTGGCGGCATCATGTGAGGCGGTACCATCGGTATTCCGCCGGGACCCATAAATGGCGGCATTGCCGTCATATGTGGCATCATGCCGTATTGAGCGTACTGATTCATTAAATGTGGGGGCATCATGTTTGGCGGCATCATCATTGGCGGTGCAGCAGCAATGGGATCTTTTAGCAAATAAAAAGAGAGAATATAAAAACATTTCTTAAAATTAGATTTACATAACAAAAAAAAACTTACATTCCACTTTCTTTTTCGCCGCTGGCTCATCATCATCTGAGTCCGATTTACCACCATTCTTTTGTCGTTCATGCTCTCGTAAATCTTCCGGAGGTATACCATCCATGCCGAAAATTTCTATTTCGATGTTGGATCGATTGGGCAATGAGTTTGGCACTTTGTCAACGGTTTCCTTGTGGACCTGCATGCAATGTATTGATAGACCGGGACCCGTGTACAATTTCTTGTGGCATATGTGGCATTTGAAATGTTTTGCCTTCTGATGTTGCACCAAAATTTTTTCATCGTCAAATTCACGATTACAGTACCTAAATACATCCCATTTGAATTAAGGAAAAACCAAGTGGATAGAATTGAGGAGAATAAAGTGTAACATCACATTTGCCCATTTAAGGCAATGACGCCACCATACACGCTAGGAAATTCATGCAAATGCAAAATACCGCGAATGCATGAAGTATACTTTTTCAATGTCTCTCACACACGTAAACACACAGAGATGCCCCCCATGAAGTTTGGAACACACATTAAAAAGGTGGAAAGAACAAGTGTAATGTTCGATTATATAAAATTAAATTCTAAATCTAGCACTATGTATATACACAGCACACTTTTTTCCTTCACAAACATACAAATCTCAAGCAAAACGCCTAAAAAAAAAACTCATCCATTCATTCACACGTCTTAAATTCTAAACATTTTTTTCTGTTTCTTTTAAAAAGGATACCAGCACCAGGGTTTGGAAGCCTTCTTCTTCTTGCGACCCATATTTTATTTAGCGTTATCTATAAAGAGGTCTCCAACAGCGTTTTAATAATTTTCTCCGGATTATTTTAACTTTTCTTCCTATCAGAACGAAAACAACGTTGATTCCGCTTACTTCAATGACCCCGTAAGAAAAAAAAAATACTTGTGTTCCAATCTTTATTCCGATATTCAGCAGCACACAGAAAACAAAATGGCTTACAATAAGGCGCATCACACGGTCGTCAAAACATGACATGATCGCATGACAGAAATTCATTAGCGTATAGCTATTGAAACACAATTGTAGCGTTCGTTCTAACGACGTTCTAAGTAAAATGATGACACGTTTACATCATCGCTTTTAAGTTGGGATATTATTGACAATTACTTGGATTAAACGTCAAATATATTACGAATCTTTGAAAAATGGGAAATTTAGGTGCTGGTGTAAAGTTGGATACAAGGGGTAAACACAAAAAGTGATTTTTTCTGGCATCAGTCATTGGCTATTTTTTAAAAAAGAAAACAAAAGAGTTTTGGTTGTCTTATAGTGAGAACACATAGAACAAGTTTTTTGCTGGCTTAAAGGTGAAAAAACATGAAACGCTTTTTGGCTGACTCATGTCATCGGCTGACTTCTTCGTAAAAGAACAAAGGAGTTTTAGGTTGGCTTAGTTCAATTCCCGCCTGTAATATATACTTGCTCACCCTAGGCTCCTTTGTTCTTTTGCGAGGAAGCCTGCCGTTAACTAGTAAAAACTTGTTCTATATAATCTCAGCTTTATTTAAATCTCGATCTCGATTAGTTATGTCTTGACATACAAGGTTCTTAGGCTGGAAATACATAAAGCGCATATTTGGCTGGCTTAAGTCATCGGCTGGCTTCTTCGTAAATGAACAAAGGAGTTTTAGGTTGACCTAGTTCGATTTTGGCCCTAGGCTCCTTTGTTCATTTCCGAAGAAACCAGCCGATGACTTAAGCCAGCCAAATAAGCGCTTTATGTATTCCCAGCTTTACAACGGATTTTAGGTCATTTAAAAATGGTCATAAGCTGATGTGTTTCATAATCATAGCTGCTATAATATCAGGCGAGTTTACTTTTTTGATCTGTTCCCGAACTGCCCGTTTTATCCAAATACGCAAGGTCTATATATTAAAACCTACCAACTAATGACATTGTAAAATTTTAAAATTTTGTCCATTTGCTATATTTTTCAATTATCTACATTAAATTGTCTGTATTATTCATTTATTTCTGTTTTTACACACAAAAAAAATAAATTGTTCAATTATCAATGCATAGTAGAACTAAGAAGGTAAAGTCATGAAATCATATGTTTACAATTTTTTCAAAATTATTCATTTGACAACATCTCATTGTCATTGTATACACACAAAATCAGAGATGGGAACTGTTTTTTATGCATTGAATTTATACAAGGTAGATTGCATAAAATGCAGAGCTGGAAATGCTAATATAAAATGATGTTACCTTTATTTCATTGTACCATGTTGTCATGGTAGAATCAAGAAGGTAAAGTCATGCAAACATATGTTTACATTTTTTTTTTTTCAAAATAATTCATTTGACAACATCTCGTTGTCAAAATATGTATTTATAAATCCATTCTAAATACACAAATCAAATATGGAAACCTAGTTTTTATGGAGTGATATTATACAAGGTATATTACAGAAAATGCAGAGATGGGTAGGCCAACTTGTTTTTTACTTGTTTACCTACCGAGTATGTCGAATTTTAGGTAACGCTGTTCGGTGTCTGCATGGTGGAATTAAGAGGTTAGTGTCATGCGTGTAATTTTTTTGTGTGTAAATTTTTTAAATTGTTTCTTTTCAATTTGAAAATGTGTATTTACCATAGTACAATAATGTGTGCCCTCTAATGTACGTTTCTTCCAATCATTGATTTTGAATTTTTTTTTTTATTTTTTTAAACAATTGATACACACACAAAATTTTGCAGAAGTCTGGCAAACTTTGAAAATAAATTTTAATCAACTGGTAGTTCTACCTTACCTTGGTACAATAAAAAGTGTATCATGGTATTTACAATTTTTTTTTGAAAAAATAAACAGTATATAATGTTGACATTTTGAATGATTTTGAAAATCTTGTGCAACACCTTATTGCCCCATGGGTTAAGTCAAGGTAGAAGAATATATGTACAAAACTGCAACAAAGTCAAACGCCACAATTTTTAATATATTTTTTATATATTTTTTTTCATTTTATCGAATGAAAACAAAAAATGTCGGAAATGACATCAAATTTTAGAATTATGCCCTTGAAACAGCCAACACTCTGCCCAAATGTTTGGCCCATTCCCGGCGAAACGCTTGCTTGAGGTGATCGACACTTTGGTATTTTTTAGTGCCAACCTTGCTTTCCAAAATACTCCAGACACAATAGGTCAACGGATTGGTATCCGGAGATCCATTGTGCTGGAAATAAAGCGAGGAACTTCTTTTCGTAACCATTCTTGGTTGGCGCCTTCTGAATGCGATGGTGCTGAGTCCTGTTGGAATGTCCAAGGTCTGCGGCCAAAATGTTTGCGTGCCCAAGGCTTTAATACACCCTCCAGAGTATTTTCGCCATAATATTCGGCATGTATTCCGATGCAACGGTCGATAAATATGAGCGGAGAGCGACCATTGGCTGTTATGGCAGGACAACACCATCACCATGGCTGGCGCTTGAGTTCTGGTGGCCAACCGAAGTGTAGATTTTCAGCTTACCTTTATGGCAAGTAAACACGATCATTTTGTTTGTTTACAAACTGCTGCACAACGAATTTTTTCTCATCGGAGAAAACCAAATTCGGCTGTTCGCCAAGCGAAGCAACTCTCTAACTCTTTTGAATCTATTTTCTTTATATTGCGGTATAAGTTCTTGCATTTTTTGGAATTTCAATGGATTTAGCCCGAGCCGATGTTGCTGCATTCTTTCGTCCACTTCCTTCTTCCGTCCACTTCCTTGACGCCGGGCTACGCTACCAGTAACACGGTACGAAATACAAAATATTTATTCACATTTCAATGACGGAGTTCTCTAACGATAGCCACATGTTGTTTTCCAGCCAAATATGACGAAATCGCAATTTCATGCTTGAAGTCCATCACGAATAACTTTTTTCTGCAAAATTCTCACCAAAATGCTTTTGTACGATTGTAAACAATATAATCAGCTGTAACTGGTCGAATGGTTCAGAAATGACAGCAGTCTGAAGTTGGTGGCAGTTTTTCATCTCACCCTGTAGAGGGTCCAACGCTAGGGAACATTGATATGTCAAAAATCGGAGGTCGATATGATATGCATTTATCAACAATTTTTACTAATTTAATTTTTTTATTTAAAAGTTTCAATTTCAATTTTCGTTTGATAGTTTAATTGACTACCTGTATTCTTTTACCGTGGGTCAACTGTTATATTTTGTTGTTACCAAGGTAACCATGGTAATCAGCTGTTGTTTACATTCCTAAAATGTACTCTCGCTCGCATTTTTTGGATTTTTTTGTGCTAAACAATTGTTGGCCTGGTGTAGTACCACCAGTTTGAGATCTTCCGATATTTCACGCAAATCAATAAACTCTCCGCCAATCTCGCGCTACCAGACATTAGTTAACGTGTTGTTGTTGTTTTTGTTTTAATATTATGTTAACATTAATAGATTAGGCCAGCTGCTGAAAAAAAAAACTGTAATCATTCATGAAAGAAAAATAACTGCTGTGAAATCAAAATTGGACATAAGAAAAATCTACAATTTTTTTTGGATTTTAATTTGCATTTGTTGAAATAAAACGCGGACATAATGGAAACTCAAAATTCTGCTACTGATAAACCATCAAATGGCGTGAGCATGGAAAAGACAAACGGCACTACATCTAATATTAAGGGCTCAACAAAGGGATTGTTTAGTGGTGGAGAAAGTGTGACCTCGAGTAAGTAACAAATAATGGCTCGTTTTCTTGAAACTATCAAAAGGTTCAAGTTCAAAGTCCATAAAGGTGTTTGGTTTGTTTGCATTGGTTTTACGTACGCTATGTCAAAGACCCACTTTTGATTTTGTTTGTCGACTCTTCCGCATGTGAAGGTGAAACAAAAAAAAAAAAAAAAAACGCACAACAAAAAAGCTTACCAAATGGTTGGAGTTGTTATGCATGAATGTAACAACAAACAGTATCTCACCACCAACTGATGAACCGAATATGATGTGTGAATTACATATTCAAAATATGTTAAAATCCGGTGGTCTAGACGAAGATGTTGAATAATTTTTTGGATTATTGTTCACATTGGTCCAGAAAAGAAACGTATTCATTATGTATTATAAATATTTTAATTTAATGTACATACATACCTATCTACAAATGTTTTTGTGACTCATACTTTTCTATTTTCTTTTACATTTCCAGATGGTGGCACCCAGGTGACCCGCTCTCAGGACTCATGGGAGGAAGTGACCATCGAAGTGCCATGGGGAACTGTACAAGGTAATGCGTCACATTAAAGTAAAAATAAGACAAGTCAAACACCAATATGTTATATATCGTCGTATGTTGCGAGAAGATATTGGTTTTCATATCCTTTTTCATTCTTTGTAAAATTGTGACGATTCGGAAATCAAAATAATTGGTTAATATTAGATGGTCACCTACCATTGGGACCCCATTGTATAATTTTTACAATCACTGTATTGTAAATTCTTTATCTAATCGAAGCTATCTAACATATGGAATGAGTCAACGAATATTAATTATAATATGTTAGAATATTGGAATTTGGAATTACTATATATTTTGATACCTCCACACCATGGAAGGGATGACACAGCAAATTTTTTCATTTCATGCGAGACTCGTTTAATTTATTTTTATGGAATTAAGATTTAAGAAATGATAAGAGTCGTCGGAAAATCTAAAAATAATTTATGTTTAAGAACTGACAGGAGTTTCCGAAAATTCTCTAAAGAAATTCAAATTAAAAGATCTTTTAAAATATCAAAGTTTGAAGACGTAAAGGATACCCATAAAATTCTGCAAAAAGTTCACCAAAAAAGATGTTACGAATTCTAGAAATTATGTTTAAGGGCCGGAATTTAGTTGAAGAAATTCATGTTTAAGGACTATCATAAACAATAATGTGCTGTTACGAAATTAGTTATAGAAGTCCATGATGTTAGGTTAGGTTAAAGGATGCGCAGTTGTTTTGTAACATCGACTCCACTCTGAGACCTGCTGGTCAAAACTGTGTTTAAGAAAAATAGGAAAAAGTAAACAGAAAATGAAAACAAGTACAAAAGCTGTAAGTTCGGCCGGCCAGAACTTCACATACCCTCCAACATCTGGAACGAATTTAACCATTTTAATATATAAAATCCATTAAAAATTCTGTTAAAATCTTAAAAATACCGAATGTAGCCATTATATTACGGTCTATACGACGACGTGGAATTACATAGGCAACTTTTGTCATAAGGCATTACAATATTCAAATGCGAAACTTGAAAAAAATCGCTGAATAATGTAGCTAAAATCATTAAAATAACGAATATCGGGAGGTACCATTATAATGGTGCTGTACCAAAACGTGGACCTGCATAGACAATTTCTGTCAACGGTTGTAGTACCCATTACGAACTTCAAATACCAAATTTAAAACAATTCCGGTGAATAATGTCGCTAAAATCATCAAAACACCGAAAATAGGGTAACATTGTATGGGGGCTTTAACAAAACGTGGACCTATATGCCCCACATTCAATACCTGTTCTGCAGACATAATATACATTTGATTTAAATTTTATTAACCTACTTCATTTCGTTTGGAAGCTTGAGTGATTTCCACAGATGGACAGACGGACGGACAACGCTAAATCGACATATAATTTTATGCTGATCAAGAATATATACACTTTGCGGGGTCTGAAATGTATATTTCGGTGTGTTACAAACGGAATGACAAACTTAATATACAATCCATACTACAGGGTGAGATAAAAAATGCAACAAAGTCAAACGCCATATTTTTTTACATTTAAAGTTTATTGAGTGAAAGCAAAAATGTCGGAAATAGCATCAAATTTTAGAATAAGTTTAAATTTGTTCGAATTGGTCACCTTTGGTACGAATTATGGCCTTCAAATGGCCAATGAAACCGTCACACGCTGCTCGAATGTTGCTCTGCGGTATTTTGGCCCATTCCCGGCGAAGCGCTTGCTTGAGGTGATCGACACTTTGGTATTCTTTAGTGCCAACCTTGCTTTCCAAAATACTCCAGACACAATAGCCCAACGGATTGGTATCCGGAGATTTTGGTGGCCAATGTGCGCTGCAAATGAAGCGAGCAACCTCATTTTGTAACCATTCTTGGGTGGCGCGTGCTGAGTGCAATGGTGCTGAGTCCTGTTGGAATGTCCAAGGTCGGCGGCCAAAATGTTTGCGTGTCCAAAGCTTCAATATACCCTCCGGAATATTTTCGCGATAATATTCGGCACTTATTCTGATGCCACGGTCGATTAATACGAGCGGAGAGTGACCATCTGCTGTTATGGCGGCCCACACCATAACCGGCGCTTGAGTTCTGGTGGCCAACCGAAGGTGCACATTTTTAGCTGACCTCTTTGGCAAGTAAACACGATCATTTTGCTTGTTTACAAATGTTTTCTCAACGGAGGTCGGAGAAAACCAAATTCGACAGTTCACCACTATCGGCCAAGCGAATCAACTCTTTAGCTATTTTGAGTCTATTTACTTTCTGTTGCGGTGTAAGTTCTTGCACTTTTTGGATTTTCATTGGATCTACCCCGAACTCATTTTTCAATATTTGCCGAATGAAATATTGCGATATGTTTAGCTCACAAGCCATTTTTCGGCCACTGCGACGCGGGTTTCGATCAAGTAGCTTCTTTACTTTTCGAACCATTTCTGCGATGTTGCTGTTTTCTTCCTTCCTTGGCGTCGGTGGATTAAATAAATTCAACAAAATATGACCAAACCTCTTCAAAGAAATCTACGTTTAGAAGATGATTAAATCCCCTAAAATTCTTTAAAGTAATACTGGCTTGAACGTTGATTGAACCCCCAAAATATAAGGGCCTACATTCCCCATATATCTTCAAAGAAATCGACAGCTTTTGAAGTTATTCAAAATTTTCAATGTTTGACGGCTTGAAGCTGATTTGAGTCTACCGAATAGATTTCCTCATTTAGTTTTTAATGGGTCAATGCCACATTAAATTTCCGCTAAGAAATAAACCTTTAAATATCAAGAAACTTTTTAGCATTCCCATTTAAATTCATAAACACCGCTTACCTAGTGTGACGTACAACGAATTGTGAGTTCATGACTTTATAAATTAATTTCATGATTTAATTTTAATTGCGTGATGTGACACTGGCCCTGAAAATTGTTGTAATTGTTCCCCTATATGATTTTTGTTACAGATAAATATAACAGAAACAACTAATTCAAAACAATATCTTTTTTCCACAGGCAAATGGTGGGGTAGCCGCAATAAACAACCCATTTTGGCTCTACATGGCTGGCAGGATAACTGTGGCACATTTGATCGCCTCTGTCCCCTGATGCCACCTGAAATACCCGTGCTCTGCATCGATTTACCCGGTCATGGCAAATCATCACACTATCCCAAGGGTATGCAGTATTTCTTGTTTTGGGATGGTATTTGTTTGATACGTCGCATTGTGAGAAAATATGGCTGGAAACGTGTCACCCTTATGGGCCACTCATTGGGCGGTGCCCTGACGTTTATGTATGCTGCCAGCTTCCCTGCCGAAGTAGAGAAATTGATCAATTTCGATATTGCTGGGCCACCAGTTCGCAGTGTCGAACGCCAAGCCGAGACCACCGGTTGGGCTTTGGATAAATTTTTGGACTATGAAACTTTGCCGGAAACCAAAGTACCTTGTTACTCATACAGTGAAATGAAAAAACTTGTCCTAGATGCCTACGACGGTTCGGTGGATGAGACCTCAGTGAAATATTTATTAGAACGAGGCATGGAAGTGGCACCACAGCATCTCAGTACAGATGGTTATCATTTTTCCCGAGATTTACGCCTAAAAGTCTCGTTACTCGGCATGTTTAGGGCCGAACAAGTGTTTGCCTATGCCAAACGTATACGCTGTAAAGTTCTCAATATTCGCGGTGATCCTGGCATGAAATTTGAAAATCCCCAAATTTATGATGAGGTCATCGACATACTTAAGGAGAACGCTGAACTTGTGATATATAAAATTGTACCTGGAACTCATCATTTGCATTTGGTGACACCGGAACGTGTGGCACCGCATGTCAATGAGTTTTTATTACAAGCTTAAGTAGTAGTATTATATAAGCTATCCGATAATTTACCAAAAAAAACGAGTGATGAAATGATGTGTACATTTATATATATGTGTATGATGTACAATTTATGTATCTATGTGTGTGTAAAATATTTAGGAGGCTTGTTTTAGATTCCATTAGCAAATGTATATATGAATAAGTTGTATTATTATTACAAAAAAAGACAGATAAATTAAAAGATTTAACTGTGAATAGAAAACACAAATCAATAAAATTGGTTGGAGGCTCTGAAAATTGAATGTTCAATTGATAATTTTGGTAATTTGTAAATGATTTGTAAATGAAGTGGTATTTAATAGAAGACCTCAGTAGGAGAACACTTCAGAGGGGGAGCTTTAAAAAAAAAGAATCAGAAAACGCCTACACTTCTAACTAAAAGACCTTCAAAGAAGTAGTTTTCCACAAAAACTCCATCGATTTCACAAAAATTTCTTCTATAGATGTCACTTGAGTTTCGGTCCAAAGAAGCGGTATTTACATCGAGAAAAGAGGACAGCTTCTTCCACCGGAGAATTTTTTTCGCTAGACATACTTTACCTTTCCATAAAAACATATGGGAATATTTTCCATAGGCCTTAGAAGAAAATATGCTCTTTCTATGGATTTACAAAGTTATAGTATTACCTCTATTAAGCTACCAAATTATTAAACATTGTTTGAAAATTAAAAACATTTTAAAAATCGAAAGTCTCCAAATATGTCAATAAACACAGTAATTCTATTTCAAAGACACTGGCGTACAATGTGAACAGCCCTAGTTAGAAGCGCCATCAAAAATAATTTAACCGCCATCAAAACCTTCTTCTTAATCAAATGACGCCGTCACACAAACATTAAGTGTAGCTCCGATCTTTTATCGCTTGCAGTCTAGACTTGTACGATTCGATATGGTACAATGTGAACAGCCCTAGTTAGAAGCGCCATCAAAACCTTCTTAATTAAATGACGCCGTCACACAAACATTCAGTGTAGCTCCGATCTTTTATCGCTTGCAGTCTAGACTTGTACGATTCGATACGGTTTAATCAGTGTTTGTTTTTTCCAAATATTGGATTTGTTCAATAATAATACAATTCTCAATATATAGAATTTCAGCAAACGTAATTTCGTAATATTGTGAAAGTGTTCTCTCTAACAAGTGAATAAATTAAACCGGCATTTCAAAAGTAAAGGTAGAGAGAAAATTTGAGTGAAATTCCAAGCAACCAAACAAACATAAACAAAAAAGAAAGTACAAAAGAAAAATACTGGGTAGAAGGCATAACCTCCACGAACCGGTATTTTCCCCTGGATTTTATTTCGCAACCGGTATTACTCAAAATAGTTTCTCTTTGAGTTTTATTTTTATGTATCCAGGCAATGACTCAAAAACGCACACACAGACGGGTTTTAATGAAATATGTCGAGCGAACACAAATGAAGAAGGGAAATATCGTAACGTATGGCAGCGGCGGTAACGACTGGATTACCAAAGTGCAATGTTGCCAGATTGATAGTTTAATTGTTGAAAATAATTACGTGAATTTGGGGGGTCGAAAAGCCGAAATGTAAAATTTGGGCTTATATGAAGGGAAATTTTTAAAAAGACAATAAGACAGTTTTTTTCTGGAAAAGAAACACATAAATTCAAAAAAATGCATGAACTCTTTATTTTAATTGGGCTTAATTTAAGTTTAGTAAAAACTCAATGTACAGAACAAAATCGGGTTAACTGGGTTCAAAGATTCATATCTCTAGATCCAGGAAAAATATTAGCACATATTGCAGCGTTTTGGAAAGGTTATAGTGTCAACTATACTTTGGCATATACTATGTGGACTCCTATAATGGGCCATTTTTCGATATTTCTAGGGGGTATCTTACGAATAAATGCTTCAATGTCACACAAAAATAATCTAACGGAGTTAAATCACATAAAATAAAGAATTCACTGAACTTACCTCTCAATAAGTCCATTATTACTCGTGTTGTGTGCATTGGAACCGGTTTATTAAAACAAGATTTCATACAAGTCAAACCCTTTGCTTTTGAGCCAAGAAGTTGGATATAATCTGCCGTTAGCGCTCACCATTCAAAGTTCCGCTACGATTCGCAGCATATCTGAAGAAATAAGGTTCAATGGCCTGACCAGCCCTTCAGCCTTTACACAAGTTAAGCCGATATCACGTTTCAGATAAAAGAAAAAAAATATACACTTTGAAACATTTGGAAGTAAATTGAAAATTTCAATGCTGCGAAAATTAATAAAATACAGAGTATCATACAGTTATATGGGGGATATATGTAGTCGTGGACCTGTGTGGAAAATTATCTGCCAGAGTGGGCGGTGCAAAATGTTGATAAATTGGCAAATGTTGATAAATTGACAAAATACCGAATATCGGAAGGTAATTTTATATGGAGGATAGACGAAAATGATTAATCAATAATTTTCTGTCATGAGAAGAAGTACGCAATTTAAAAAATTCCGACGAAAAAATAAACATAAATCATCAAAATACCGAATATTGCTAGGTACAATAATATGGGGACTATACGAAAATATGGACTTGAGTAGATAATCATTAAAATATCGAATATAGGGGGGCACCATCATATTGGGGGTATATGAAGACGCACTCATTATGACATTTAAATGCCAAATTGTTATAAATCATTAAAATAACACATATTGGGAATGTGCAGTTATATGGGGTCTAGACCTATACGGAAAGCTCTCTGCAAGGATATTTCCTAGATACTGGAAACAAATTACCAATTTACAAAAGAATTCATTTTAAAATTGCGTCTGGAACAGGCAAACCACTTTAAATCTGCCAGTACAACCATGGTACAATAATGAGGTAGAACAGCTTCGTAAAACTACAGAAATACAGCCCTGGGGCTATGCCCGCTACCTGTCAAATTTGCATGAAACTAGTTGCTTTCATATATTCAATATTTCTCCTCATTTTTAAAATCATTTAACCAGCGGGAAAAACTAAATAAATGCCTGGATTTTCTTTCAAACATATGATCTAAACAGTTCTCTCTTTCAATTCCATGGCAAAACTGTAGAATAGCTTTAATGCGCGTATCGCAATGTACGCGTCTTTTAATCATTTATTTTGAAAATATTCTATTTTTAATTTTCAAAACAATAAATACATACACAAATTTGGCAGAAGTCGGGCACATTTAGAAACAAATTGTAATCAGCTGGTAGCTCTACCTTACCTTGTTATTGTACCATGAGTACAACATAATTAATTCCGATCGGAAGCTAGAGTGACAGACGGACAGATATGGCTAAACCGGCCGACATAGAATATATATGTAGGATAGGGTATAGAAATAGGCTATAGTATGTTTACATTACAGTTTTCTAGCGGGCTAACACTCTTTTTGAACATTTAAATTAAGTTCACAAATTGAACCCACTGGATTATTTCGAAGTCATTGTAAAAAAGGCCCACATTTAATTTGATATCGTTGAAGACTCAAACCGTCCCGTTAAACTATTGCCAACACATTCATGTGGCAACACTCGATTTCCACTCAAAGAAAACATGCACACACGCTCAGTTTGCCGCAACTGTACTAAAATAAATGCTTCGCATACAAGAAAACGCTCTTATTTTCAGTTTGATTTGTGGTGTTGTTGCGTGCGTATCTCCTCTGTTCGTGCGTCTCGTTTGTGTGTGTATTCTACTAATCTTTTCGTCTCGCTGTGGAATTTAATCAGTTCGCGGTCGTTTGAGTATTAATGCTACTCTATTTAGTTGACAGAAGAAACAAGAACACCACCAGCAAAAGCTAATAATAAGAAAAAAAAAAAAGAAAAATAAATAACAAGAAGAAGAACAAGACAACCTGTCAAGTGTAAAATATAAAAAAAATTTACAAAATTAACAAAAACTGTGTGTTTCAAAAACAACGTCCTCAAAATAAACGATTATGGCAACGAAATCGAAACGCGCGGGTACTGCCACGCCCCAACCGGGTGGAACTAGTACTCCATTGATTACCAATGCAAATCGTCCTTCTAGCCCATTGAGTCCAACACGCCATTCACGTCTTGTGGAAAAAGCTGAATTGCAGAATTTGAATGATCGTCTGGCCGCCTACATTGATCGCGTACGCAATTTGGAAACGGAAAATGCCCGCCTATCCATCGAAGTGCAAACAACACGCGATACCATAACGCGTGAATCGACCAACATCAAGTCGATGTATGAAAATGAGTTGAGTGATGCCCGGCGTTTGTTGGACGATACGGCCCGTGAAAAGGCCAAATTGGAAATTGACATCAAGCGGCTATGGGAAGAAAATGAGGAATTGAAGGCCAGATTGGATAGAAAAACCAAGGATTGTTCAATTGCCGAAGGTGAGTAGTCCGAGAGAGTGTATGTGTGTGTGTGTGCCTGTCTGTGTATGTAGTGTGTTGATTTGTTGTTTTTATGCTATTTTATCAGCGGCTTTGCTTTGGTCGCCTAGCTGCTGGTGTACATGTGTTTTTCTTCTATTTTTCTTGTTATGTCAAATTCTATATTTGACAATTTGCGATGGCTGGCTCTGGCTGCTGCTGCTGCTCTCTGAGTGTATACATGCGGGTGACATTTGTTAGTACAGTGCCAATGCCAGGGTTGCCATATTTGGTAGTTTGTTTTGTTTTGCAGTCCGTTGTTTGTTGCAAATCGTAATTTCATTTTCAACGGAAAAAAATTAATGTTTTTCTTTTTTTTTTTTAGGAAATGCTCGTATGTATGAGTCACGTGCCGCTGACTTGAGCGCCAAATACAGTGCCGCAAATGCTGACCGCAAAAAGGCCGTTGATGACCTCAACGAATTGCAAAAGGAATTGGAGCGTCTACGCAAACAATTGGATGAGGCCCGCAAACATTTGGAAGACGAAACACTGGCCCGTGTCGACTTGGAGAACAACATTCAGAGTCTGCGTGAAGAGCTCACTTTCAAGGATCAAATCCATTCGCAAGAGATCAACGAAACACGCTCCCGCCGCCAAGTTGAAATCAGTGAAATCGATGGCCGTCTCTCCGAACAGTATGAGGCTAAGCTGCAGCAATCTTTGCAGGAGTTGCGTGAACAATACGAAGGACAAATGCGTGCCAATCGTGATGAAATTGAAATGTTATACGAGCAAAAGATCAAGAGTCTTCAAGCTGCCGCCAATCGTAATTCGGGTGCAGCATCAAGTGCTATTGAGGAATTACGTGCAACACGTACTCGTATCGATAGTTTGAATAGTCGCATTAGCGAATTGGAGTCGACAAATGCTGCATTGAATGCACGCATTCGTGACTTGGAACAATTGTTGGACAACGAACGCACCCGCCACGTTGCCGATATTGCAAATTTGGAAGCCGAACTGCAACGTTTACGTGATGAGATGGCTCAGCAGTTGCAAGAATATCAAGATTTGATGGATATTAAGGTAAATATAAAACGGAGGACTTTTGTGGGAAGAACATATTCGCAAATAGACTCTAGTTAGTTCTACGGTTCTACTTTAAACATTAAAGCTTTGAAGGATCAGTTTCTGTAGAAAAGACTTCTTTTTCTTGAATCTCTGTAAAATGTCTTCAAAATTTGGAAGAACTTCACGAAATTTTGATGTCATATAATTACGGAAAGAAAGTCAAGGAGAGATTTGTTAAATTTCCTTATTATTGCTATAAAAGGAAGGTTGCTATAAAAGGTGTTCAAAAGACATTCTGTGGAGAACCTGAAGAAGGCTCTTGTAAGTCCATTTTATTAGATATCATCTCGAGTTATACTTGCTGTTATAGCTATAGGTACAGCAACAGGTCTTTTGTCGCTAGGCAGGAAGCTTCTCTCATTTCTGCTAAGAATGGGAAAGGGTTTATCTATAAGTGACATTTTGCAGACCTTTTTAACATAGACGACTCTTTAAAGGAAATATCAAAACCTTTATAACAAATTGGTCTTTTACAGCTTCTATACCAGACAGAGATGGAAAACTTCTACTTTAAATGTATAAAAATATGACCTTTAGGTTTCTCTAATAGCTTGGCGACCACAGCATCAAGACCTTAAAAAACCTTCACAATTTTAAAGAAAATAAAGACTCCTTAAATAAGAAATATTCCATAGATCTTCTCTTAATGGAAGACCACTTTCAGGTCTCTTGAAGGCTCGGAATGCCTTCATAGAGAGTTTTTACAGAACCTCCATAAAAAATCTTTAAATGATCACATGTATTTGTAAAAGGCCTTTAATATATCTTTCCCTAAATAGAAATATTTCATAGATCTTCCTTAATAGAGTCTACTTAAGGACTTCCATCTCATTGAGGCCTTCGTCAAGTCCTCAGAGATTTGCTACCCCAAAAAATCATTCATAAAACTTCTATATGTAAAGGGCCTTTAATATATCTCTCCCTAATAAAATATAATCCATATATCTTCTCTTAATAGGAGATCGCCTTCACGTCGTCCATGTTTTTGAGAACTTCGCCAAGTCTTATCTTTCACAGAACAGCTATAAAAACTTTTACAGTACCTCTATATGTTAAAGACCTTTATTGGATTTCACTTTAATATGAAATATTCCATAGACCTCTCACGTCTTTCTTGTATTTGAGGCCTTTGCCAAATCTTCATAGATAGGCGATCGCTTTCCAAATTTAATCCCTTTTTTCCCATTTAACCTTTTCTAATCCCCTTATCTTCTTTCTTTCAGGTGTCATTGGATTTGGAAATTGCCGCCTATGACAAGCTATTGTGTGGAGAAGAAACTCGTTTGAATATTACCCCCGGACCAGGATCAGCATCGGCCAGTTCCTTTAGCCAGTCGTTGCGTTCAACACGTGCCACACCACATCGTAAGACCCCAATGCGTGCACCCTCAACGGCATCGGGTGCCTTCAAACGCAAACGTACCGTTGTCGATGAATCGGAAGATGTTAGCCAATCGGAGTATTTTGTTACCAGCAGTGCAAAGGGTGATATTGAAATATCCGAATTCGATCCAGAGGGCAAATACGTTAAGGTACACAACAAAGGTACCGGTGAAGTACAAATTGGTGGCTGGCAAATCAAACGTAATGCTGATGGCAAGGAGAATACCTTTAAGTTCCATCGCACAGTTAAAATTGATGGTGGTGCTACCATTACGGTATGGTCTTCCGATGTGACAGGTGTCACACATGAACCACCAACCAATATTGTAATGAAATCTCAAAAATGGCAAAGTGGTGAAAGTATAAAAACCTCCCTATTCAATGCTGATGGCGAGGAGGTGGCCGGTGCTGAGCGTCTCAAACGCACCGTTATACGTCATGTGTCACGTCACCGTACCACCGGAGGCCACAGCAGTGGACGTCAAAGTGTGTCCGTTTATGATGGTGTGGGCAATGAAGATTTATACCATCAGCAAGGTGATCCCGAACAGCAACAAGGCGAAGAGAAATGCCGTTTAATGTAGAAAAAAAGCAAATGGATTAATTGCTGCCACTTTCCTCCGGTATTTTAGATGGGGGAAGATAGCCACAAGAAAAAATGAACGAGTTTTTAAGGTGTAATTTTAGTGTAAAACAAAGAAAGGAGAGAGCTATAGGCTCCATAAACGAAGATACGATATATGACGCGCAACTTTACTATTTTTTTTATTATTCTCACATATAAGAAAAAACAATTGTAATTGCTTCCTCTCCACAACACACTCAGAAGAAAAGAAGATAGTTTGTTCTCTTTAGTGTCCATCAAAGATAAAATTTCAGATCAATTCAATTTTTTACACATTCATTTTGGGAAAGGCATGAGTTTGGACAAGCGGCAAATGAGCAGCCAACAACAGCCAGTAATGAATGGGGTGTTTTTTTAATAAAATCTCCCCATTAACGGCGTAGTTTAATTGCCAAAGCCAACCACCAAACTCATGATCAAAACCACCACCACCACTACCAGCATAATTTCCTATTGCTACTTATATTGAAATATTTTATTTCCTTTTTTCGCTGTAAACAAATTTAAAAGTGGTAGAAATTCCACCACAATCCATTTTACAAATGCGTTTTTTTTTTTCTTCTTAAATTAATAGAGAGAACACTTTACACTTATTTCTTTTTTAACTATAAGTATGTAAACTAACTTTAATTATAATGATTATTACAAAAACAAGAACAACAACAAGACATGAAACCAATACTAAAAACAAAAATGAAAGAGAAAGAAAAACCAACCACCCCCCAATAAACCAAACAATGTACAAATTTATGTTTCAAAAAAAAAAGACATGTTCTAAATTTTATGTTTTGAAAAAAAGAACAGATTATTTCCCGTATCTTTTTGTAGGACAACATGTTTGTGACCTAGAAATCCAGTAAGTAATGGAGATGAGACCTGCAATAGTTCTTTTTTGACTAAAGAAAGCCTGTGTAAAGGACTTATATTTCAAGAGTTATACTTCGTGAAGGATTTTGTCGCTGAACCGGAAGCTTCCTTTCAGATCTGCCATGTATAGAAAAGAGTTGATCTTTTAAACATAAACGATAATTTACAGAATTTTCAAAAATAGAAGATTCTTTAAAAAATAAAAAAATAAAAATCAACGGAAGACATATGAAAGGTCACATTTTTATAAGAGGAGCGAGACCAAAGACCTTTTAAAGGTTTTCTATGGGTAGAATAACTTTATATGTCTTCTTTAGATAGAAGACCAAAATAGGTTCTCAAAAAATAAAAGACATTTGCAGGCCTTCAAAAATGAGAAGACCATCTGTAGATAAGATAGTAGAACTTTAGAGATCTTCTATAGAGTAAATGTCCATGGGTAGAATCATTTTATATGTCATCTATAGATAGAAGACCAAAATAGGTTTTCAAAAAGAAAAAGACCTTTAAGGCCTTCCAAAATTAGAAGACCATCTGTAGATAATTTAGCAGAACTTTAGAGGACTTCTATAGAGTAAATGTCTTAATAGATCTTCTTCTTCATTTCTTTCTAATGTCAATAGAAGACATACGAAAGGTTTCATTTTTATAAGAGGAGCGCATTTTTCGAACCGAAGACCTATTAAAGGAACCGAAGACCTTAATAGGTTTTCAAAAAATAAAAGATATTTACTGAACTTCTAAAATTAGGAAACCATCTGTAGGTAAGATAGCAGAACTTTAGAGGTCTTCTATAGAGTAAATGTCTTTATAAATCTTCTTCCAGAGTCTTACTTTCTTTCTAATGTCAATAGAAGACATACGAAAGGTTTCATTTAAATAATAGGATCGACTTTCTGAACTACAGACCGTTTATAGGAATTCTATAGGATAATTCTATATGATACCTTTATGGGTCTTTTATAGATAGAATACCAAAATAGGTTTTCCAAAAGGAAAAGACCTTTACAGGACTTCTAAAATGAGAAGACCATATGTAGATAAGATAGGAGAACTTTATAGGATTTCTATAGATGTCTTTGTAAATTTATATATTATCTTCTTCCGAGAGTCTTCTTTTCTTTCTAATGCCAATAGAAGACATACGAAAGGTTCAATTTGTATAAGAGGAGCGAACCAAAGACCTTTTAAAGGTTTTATATGGGTATACTGCCAGTTTCCTTTATATTCAATCGGAACAATTCTTTTGTCCCCATACTCTTTTGATTAAACTTTGACAAACTTGTAAAAATAGGCTACTACAGGTTCTTTCGTAGATAGAAAAAATCTTGTTGGTCTCCTAGAAAGGGAATTCCTGCTTGATGTCCTCTGTCTATAGAAGAACTAATGACAAGCTACCCGTTTCCTTTATATTGAAATCAATCCAACAAGAAGACTACTTTTGACAAACTTTCTGGAGGTTTGTGGAAGAACTTTTATGCCTTTATTGATATATAAACTTACAAAGAAGGCTTAACAGAAGACATCCTTTGAAAAAAAGCTATTATAGGTTCTTTCGTAGATAGAAAACATCTTGTTGGTCTCCTAGAAAGGGAAGTCCTGTTTGATGTCCTCTATCTATAGAAGAACTGATAACAATTTTTATTTCGACTGTTTCCTTTATATTCGAATTGGAACAATTCTCAAAAAATCATCATAAATCAAGACCTACGTAAGGTCCGACAAGAAGACTACTTTTAATAAAACCTCGGCAATTTGATTGAATAGACCTTAGTCTATATATGCTCTGTTCCAGAACCTGCAAGAATCTACTATACTTGTACCTGATATGGGCGCTACTTCTAAAATTTTTCTGTGTAGAGGTTTTCTATTCTTTTAGAAGCCTAGTAATGGCCAAGTCAATTGAAAAATGAGACCAAGACCCTGGAAATAGGAAAAGCCTGCTATCGTAGCACAAACTTTTACATTCTTGCAGTTCTGGAACAGAGCAATAAAGTCGGTCAGTAAGCCCATCTCTTTAGTGGGATTCTCTAACTCATTTTTTTAATTATCGACAAAAATCGGTAACTTTTAAAGGCAAATTCTTGATATAAAAAAGAAGTTTAAGTTAAAGACATTGGAATATAGCGATAGGCCTTAGCGAAGACTTTCATTTCGACGCTAGCTTACCGACAAATTTCGCTAATAACCTCAATTATAAGCATTCGAATTTGACCGATCTTTTTTCGTTAACTTAGAAAATGAGTTACAGAATTCCACTACTGATAACTAAAGGAGCAAGTAAATAAAAAGCTTGAAGTTATGGTTAGGCATATTAATGTCAAATTATATGTAGAACAATGGCAGGATTTTGGTGCGGCTCTGTAATCCCTTTACGAAATGTCACAAAATGTGCCCAGTCATGACTTCATTCTTCTTACGTACTTGCACCTTAAGTTTCAAAGAGCAAAAAGGACTAAGTTTACTGTCAAATGGTTGTTAAAAAGTGGTCTTCTTGTCCGACCTTTCAAATATGTTGTCCCATTTTTCAAATATTTTATATTAACAAAACATAATCGACTTGGTTCGATTCGAATTTAACTGAGACAGAGGCCGTAGAGTAGAGACATGAAATAGAGAGTCATTCAAATCCATTACTATCTAGATTTCTATTAAATTATTTAATTGTTTAAGAAATAATGAATATTTGGGTCAATTGTTTTAAAATATTAACTATTAATTCCTTTATCTTGTAATCTAAATTATTAGAATTCGTACTTTATTTTCAATACCTATAGTTATTTTCTAAAAAAAAAAATAAAATGTTATAATCATATCCATCCACCTCAATGACGTCGTACTCGACATCGTTGTGAGTGAAAAACAACCACAACAACGTTGTCGTCGTGTTGTTAAGCAAGTGAAGATTATAAATATACAAAAAATAAAAATATAAGAAGAAATTGGAAAAAAATCACAAACATATAACCTATATATATAAATTAAATACAAAAACAAAAAACTATTTTACAATACGAACAAAAAATCAACAAACAAACAACAACAATAATAATAAAAAAACAATAAACACAACGTGTTTGATTTATATGTACCTAGAGTTTTTCATTTCTTAGCAGTTGTGTTTTAATTTTAGAATTTTTCCATTTGCGACATGATTTTTGCTTTTGGCGCGTTAGTTATTTTTTCTGCCATGAGTTTGGTTGTACTCAATAATTTTTCCTTTCAAAACATAACACTTGTCTACAAATATTTGTGTGTTTGCAAAGATACGTTTGACTTTTAAAATTTTGAAAACAAGTGATCGGGGAAATTTTGAAAATGAAATATTCATTTTGGGGTTACACCAGGAGCAAGAATAGAATATTTAATAAAATTTAAATTTTAAAGAGTACTTAGCTATATCCCACAAAAAATACTGAAGAAATGTTTCCATTACGTCATGACGAACCTATTTTCTATAGAATTGCGAGATTACCAAAATGTCTCATTAGATAAACAATTCAAAAACGAATCAAGCGAATTGCTAACAATCCCTTTTTACTGCCAATACCATGTATTCTTGTGAACAAAATGCAGGTCGAATTTATTATCAGATTGAGATGAAAATTTCCAAACAATATTTGTTTGGCCCAAGAATGAACCATATTAAAATTGGTGGTATTCGGATCAGATTTAGGTAAAGCTTATACGGCGTAAGATAAAAATTGTTAGCCATTGTGTGCTGGTAATGAAGCGAAAAACCTCATTTTGTAACCATTCTTGGGTGGCGGCACGTGCTGAGTGCGATGGTGCTGAATCCTGTTGGAATGTCCAACGTTTGCGACCAAAATGTTTGCATGCCCAAGGCTTTAATACACCCTCCAGAATATTTTCGCGATAATTTTCGGCATTTATTCTGATGCCACGTCGATTAATACGAGCGGAGAGCGACCATCGGCTGTTATGGCGCCCACACCATCAGCATTGCAGGCGCTTGAGTTCTGGTGGCCAACCGAAGGTGCACATTTTCAGCTGACCTTTGTCCGACCTTACGTCTGTCCCTGTATTAATGTGAACAAAATGCAGGTCGCACTTATTCGATTAAGATGAAATTTTCCAAACAATATTTGTTTGACCCAAGGACGAACCCTATTGAAATTGGTGAGAAACGGATCAGATTTAGATATAGCTCCCATATATATCTTCAACCCATTTCGGTTTAATTGTGCGCCAAATGGCCAATATCAGTCCAAAAGTCTTGAATTTTGGTACATCCCACCGAATTCAATCCAGAAGCAAGTACCCAAAATTTGGTGAACATTGGTTCAGATATAGCTATAGCTCCCATATA